CCCCCCCCCCCTCCACCTCTGCGTCCACTTCTGGTTTCGGCGCGGCGTTTTCAAAGCCCGAGGGGAGCTGGGACTGCGACACCTGTCTGGTGCGGAACAAAATGGAGGCGGTGAAGTGCGTGGCCTGTGAAACGGCCAAACCCGGAACCGGACTCAAGCCCTCGCTCACTTTCCCGTCGGCCTTCTCCGCCGTGAAGACTGTGTCCGCGCCCACGGCCCCAGTTTCCACGGGTTTCGCTGGATTTGGAGATAAATTCAAGAAGCCCGAGGGCGCGTGGGAATGTGAAACGTGTTTGGTGCAGAATAAGGCGGAGGACGCCAAGTGTGTGGCGTGCATGGCCGCTAAACCAGGTAAGGAGGGAAGGCGTGTCCCGATCCGATATCTGGATCGGATTGGCCGCCGATATTCACTAAAAACTGCGTATCGGCCGGCAGGAAAAAATGCAGATCCAGACTCCAGATCCAAATTATTATTATTATTTTTTTATAAGTCTGATCCCACGTTAGCATTAGCATTAGCATCTCCTAACCCCCAGGTCTGTGTCCAAACCATTAAGTTATCAGAGTAAATCCCTGTTCAACATGAGTCTGACAACGAAGTAAATAGATAAATAACTTAACAAAAAGCTGGATCGGGACTTACAAAGTAGACACAATTTTACAGTTATCATCAATATTATATTTATATTTCTATATATATATTAGGGATGTCCCGATCCAGCTTTTTGCACTTCCGATCCCGGACTATCAGAGCATATATTAAAGTTTAAAGTTATTTATCCTACTAACTTAGTTGTCAGATTCATGTTGAACAGGGATTTACCTCTGATAACAACTTAATGGAGATGCTAATGTTAAGGCTCGTGTGGGATCAGACTTTAAAAATAAAAAAAAGAAACTGGATCTGGAGTCTGGATCAGAATTCTTTCTCCATTTTTTTGCAAATATCAGCGGCCGATCCGATCCAGATATCGAATCGGCACATCCCTAAATGAGGGCCTGGCTCCTCCTCAAACGGCCTTCGACTCCTTAAACAGGAAGTCCATGTCTGTAACCATCGTGTTTTCCTACTAACGCTCCACAGGAGCCGCGGCGGAAGTCTCCTCCTCGGCCCCGGCGTTCGGGCTGGGAGACAAGTTCAAGAAGCCGGAGGGAGCCTGGGACTGCGACGTGTGTCTGGTGCAGAATAAAGCTGCAGACCTGCAGTGCGTCGCCTGTCAGACGGCCAAACCCGGAGCCAGCGTGGAGCCCAAGGGTAACCGGGCCGTTTAAGCTAGTTTTATCACCACACTAAAATGTTCAACTCGATACCGATACTCAGGAAAATATTCGATACTTGATACCGTTTTCGGTAACACAAGGATAAAAACAAAGACCCCAAAATTTAACTGAATTTTGACGGGTTAGTGTCTCTCGTTTCAAACTGATCTATTACTGATGTTGGCGTGTTATTATTAGCCATTAGCCGTAGCTAGGAATTCAAAGCTAACGTCACGTTAATGATCATAAACAGCGTAAATAAATGGATATATAAATCGGAGAGAGGGGGGGTATCGATACCGATACCTTTGAAAATGAGTATTGTATCCGGATACAACGTTTTAGTATCGATACTTTTTTTGAGTATCAATACTTTTGACAACCCTAGTTTGAGCTCTGACAGGCATTTTAATCCTTTTAGCTTTTCAGATTCTGTCTAAATCTTCATGTTTCTGCATTTAGTCAAGTCAAGTCAAGTAGGCTTTATTGTCAATTTCTTTACATGCGTTGGTCATACAAAGAATTGAAATTTCGTTTCTTGCTCTCCCGTGCAGACATAGACATAAATTAGATAAGATAGATAAATTAGACATATAATAAGAAAATTATGTGATATAATAAATATAAAAAAATGATCAATTGTAATGTGCAATATTTACAATACGGTCAGCAGATGATTTTATCCAAAGTGACTTACAAAGTAGACACAATTTTACAGTTATAAATATGACAATAAGTTCTCTAGAGGGAAATCCCTGTTGTTTCTGTGTTTTTCTGATGTCATACCTGAGCTAACTCATCCAGGCTGACGCTGTTTTCTGTCCCTTGTCTCTCCTCAGCCTTCGGTTCTTCCTTTGGCTCCACCGGGACCTCAGGATCGTCCACGTTTGGCTCCTCTACTTCGGGAGGATTTAAGTTTGGCACATCGGACAGTTCTACTTCTGGATCTGGAGGCTTCAAGTTCGGCGCCTCCAATTCGGAGTCTTCTTCTTCTTCTACTACTTCTACTTCTTTAGGTGGATTCAAATTCGGGGTCCCGTCTGGAAACGCCTCATCGGAACCCACCTCTAAAGACACTACTTCCTCATCAGGGTTTAAATTCGGCGGCTCCTCTGAGGGCTTTAAGTTTGGGACTTCTAGCGACGACAAAAAGTCGGAGCAACCTACTGACAACTCCGGGTTCAAGTTCGGAGCCAGTGGCGGAATAGTTTTTGGAACTGGATCCTCTACTAGCACGGAAACCAACTCCTCCAAAGGGGGATTCACCTTCGGACTGTCGAAGCCCGAAGAGAAACCCTCAGAATCCGTTTCCTCCTCTTCCTCCTCTGTTCGATTCAATTCTCCTTCGCCCTCTCAAGAAAAAACTGAAAATGCGTTATCCTCTAACGAAGGCGTTTCCTCGAACCCCAAACCGAACCCCAAAGGCTCGGTGTTTTCCCGCCTGGGGGAGCCAATCCCGTCCCCCGGAACGTTAAAGGAGCCGGCCACGCCCGTTTTCAGCTTCGGGAAGCCTGAGAAGAAGGAGGAGAAGAAGGAGGCGGGGGCTGTGGGCGCCCCCCCCCCGGCTCCCTCCGGGTTCTTGTTCGGGGGATCGGGGAAGGAGGCGGACGCCCCCCCGCCGCCGGCGTTCGCCTTCGGAAAACCGGCGGAGAAAAGCGAGGCGCCGCCCGCCGCCTTCAGCTTCGGGCAGAGCGCCGCAGGTGGGTGATGTTGTTTAAAGATTAGAAAGTCCAGTTCAGGCTGGAGTGGAAGGTTTCTATAACTCTCTAACTAACTGATGGTGGAGCTCTGAGTTATAGATCTGAGTATACTGGAGGTGGGACTAAAGAAATAGGGGAATGGAGGTCACCTGGGGGGTTAATGGTGTTTATTTTAGGTTGTTTTGTAGCTTTTTCCAACAATTTTTTATTGTTTTGCTGTTTCTTCCACAAATTTTTGGTTGTTTTTCTCCTATTTCCGCTTATTTTTATGCTTTTTCCACTTATTTTTCATTGTTTTGCTGCTTCTTTCACTAATTATTTGTTGTTGTTCTCCTATTTCCACTTATATTTCTTTGTATTGGCTGCTTCTTTTACTTATTTTTGGCTGTGTTGGTGCTTTTTCCTTTTATTTATTTATTTATTTTTTTGCTGATTCATCCGCAACTTTTTGGTTGTATTGCTGCCTTTTCCACTCATTTTTGGTTGTTTTGCTGCTTCTTCCACTTATTTTTATTTTTTTTATCCCTCTTTCACTCGTTTTTGGTTGTTTTTTTCCTATTTCCGCTTATTTTTCTTTGTCTTGGCAGCTTCTTTTACTTATTTTTGGCTGTTAGTGCTTTTTCCTCTTATTTTTCTTTTTTTTTGCTGCTTCTTCCACACATTTTTGGTTGTATTGTTGCTTTTTAGCTCATTTTTCATTTGCAGATTTTTCCGCTTATTTTTTATTGTTCACCTGCTAACCACCATTAACCTGTCCAATCTTGACCAGGACCTGGATGACTGTTGATCCTCACATATATTTTGTCCTCATGTGATATATTTTTTTCGTGTTCCCCCCCTAAACAGATTCTACTGCTGCTCCAAAGCCGGCCTTTTCCTTCATGGCCAATAACCCGACCTCCACCCCCCCGACCTCCTCCACCTCCACCCCGACGCCCGGCCTGTGTGGGCCAGCGGACAGCAGCAGCTCTACAGCGCCCCCCCGTGGGGCCCCCCCCCCCCCGCCCCCCCCCCGCCCAGGCCCCCCCCAGCTCCTTCGTGTTCGGCCAGCCTTCCTCCTCCTCCTCCAGTGATGCTCCGGCTAAAACCTTCGTCTTTGGCCAGACTCAGGACAGCCAGCCTTCTGCCCCCCCCACCGCCGCCCCGCCCTTCATCTTCGGGGCCCCCCCCGCCGGGGCCCCCCCCGCCAGCACTACCACAGCTGCTCCCTCCTTCGCTTTCGGGGCAACAGCGCCCCCTGCTGCCTCCTCAGCAGGTCAGCAGACTCCAGACACAGAACATGCAAAACACACATTTCACATTTAACCACATATTTATCTTAGAAGAAGTGGATTTTTATTTTTATTTTATTTTTGTTTTTTTTTACTTGTATGTATATATATATATATATATATATATTTATTTATTTATTTATTTATATTTATTCATGTTATTTTTTAAAGTTGAATATATTTATTTAATTTTTTTAACTTTTATATATATTTTTTTTAACTTTTTAAAACTTTTAACTTTAACTTTTAAATTTTTTTAATGTATGTATATTTGTTTTTTTTAAAGTTGTATATATTCATTTTATTTTTTAACTTGTGTGTATATATATATATTTTTTAAACTTTTTAAAACTTTTTTTAAAATATATATATATATACACATTTATGTATGTATTTTTAAAACATGTATATAGATAACACATTATTTTATTAGAATAAAATATATAATTATATTTTATTTAATAAAATCAATATTTTATTATCTATATATATTATATATATATTTTACTTGTACATACAAGCCCACATTTAGTCTGCTGCTCTTCACATATACTTAAATCAACTTTAAAAGTATGTGCATCAGGTTAAACTTACAAGTTTAAACAAGAGTAACATATAAACATATCTAGAAGTGGTAAATTAATAAGAAATGCAAGCAAAATAAATCAGTGGAAAAAAAATAAGAATAGATAAAGCGAGAAATATCAAATGTATATCTTTTAAATTAATAGGAAAAAAAATGAAAAAATGTTTCATTTTTGATGATCTTTACATGTAAAAAAAAAAAAAAAAAAGAAAAAATGTGTTATATTTTTGCTGATCTTTACATTTATCTCTTGTTTGTTTGCGTTTGTTGAACCTCCAGCTCCCTCTGCAGCCCCCTCCCCGTTCGTCTTCTCTCCGGCCCCCTCCGGGGGTTTCCAGACCCCTTCCTTTGGCTCGACCTTTGGCTCCCCCTTCACCGCCACCGCCTCCCCGAGCCCCGCCTTCGGCGCCAAGCCCAACGCCGCCGCCCCGGTGTTCGCCCAGCAGACCAACTCCACCCCGGTGTTTGGGGCCGCCAGCTCCACTCCAGGTGGGTCATCACCCCCCCCCCCCCCCCCCCCTCCGTTCATCCCCCCCCCCCACCCCCCCCCGTGTTCCTATTCTGACACAATTACAGCCACTGTTCAGCTTCTTATTGCTGTTATTACTGCTATCATTATCATTAGTGTCATTAAGTCCGATCCCACGCGAGCATTAGCACTAGCATCAGTATCTCGTAGCCCACAGGTCTGTGTCCTAACCCTTAACTCATTGACTGGCAGCCATTTTCAGAACAGAGTCCCATACTGCCAGAGTTTTTTGAGCATTTTGACTGATTTTTCAAGAGCCACATAATATTTTGTGCTATGACTATGTAAACACCGAACACACCAAAAGAAAGAGTAGACTCTCTTCTTTCACCAGGAAAAAAAATTGTGTTTTTACCTTATTCCGTTCTTCCTGGACTTGCGTCTCACCGGCGACATGTTCTCTCATACTGTTCCCTTTTTCTTATTTGCCTACAGTCTATGCTCATCTCCCATCAAAAGTGGCACTGCCCCCTAGAGGGTCAATTTGTTACTACATACTCTGTCTAGAAGCCTGATATTTACGGACAAGCTTTAGCAGATCGTCCCCCAGCCACTCTCGTTGAAAAACATAAGACGCCTATAGACGCCTTTGGCAGCCAATGAGTTAAGTCTGATCCCACATTAGCATTAGCATTAGCATCTCCTAACCCACAGGTCTGTGTCCAAACGATTAAGTTGTTATCAGAGTAAATCCCTGTTCAATATGAGTCTGACAACTAAGTAAGTAGAATAAATAACTTGACAAAAAGCTGAATCAGAACTAGGGATGTCCCGATCCAGCTTTTTTAAACTTCCGATAGCGATCCTGGCCTATCAGAGCATGTGTTAAAGTTTAAAGTTATTTATCTACTTAATTAATTAATTAATTATCAACTTAATCCTATTCTAAGAACTGCTAAACTGCTAAAAAAAATAAAACAAAAATACTTGAATCTAAGATAAAGATGATCATTTTTACCAATGATCAGTATAAGAAAATAAGTAGCGTGTAATTGCCGCTGTGTAAATAAAGTTGGATTGAATTGCTTCTGTTTTGTTTCTTAGGTGGGGGGTTCCAGTTCGGGGGGGCCGGTGGGTTCGGGGCCTCTAGCCCCGCCCCCTCGGGCGTTTTCACCTTCGGGGCGGGGTCGGCGGGCCCCGCGGCCCCTGCTGCTAACGCCCCCCCCGCCCCGCTGCCGGGGGCAACCGGGGGGGGGTTCAACTTCTCTCAGCCCCCCACCTTCAACATAGGGTAGGAGACCATTATCAGTAGTATTAATATCATTGCCATTTTTCATCTAGTCTACGTGTTGCTGTGTTGGCTGCCTCTGTCTGTCCTCTCTCTCTCTCTCTCTCTCTCTTGCCCTCTCTCCCTCTCTCTCTCTCTTGCCCTT